ACCCAACAATCAGTATGCTAACAGAACCTACGAACTACACCTTTAACGTTCAATTACTACCGCAACATTATTGTGAATGCGGAACGACAACCTATGGATGACTGCACAACTGACATTGCTGGGAAGGTGTCGAAAACGCGTAGCTAGTTACCATCGAGTAGGCCGATGATACTAGATACCGTAGTTCCTATGCACCGAGATCAGCACACCTGACAGGAAGCCAACTAGTGGTTTCCCGTCACTTCGGGCTCAAATCATATTGATTGTACATATCGATCGATCACGAGTTTGGTTGGTTTTAAGTTTTGTTTTGCAGGTCATCGTCACTCTGGGCTTCTCATTTTTACTCTCTACCTTGAGAGCCCCCCCCCCAACAACTACCCTTTATTTTGGTCAGTCTTAATCAACTTTATCACTCGACTAAACAAAAAAATTTTTATTATGCTTTTACGATTATGCTTTCTAGTGTTCTATATTCTAAATACTGTGTCCAATCGGAGATCTATTTGTGCAATAGCAGGAGCAAAAAGAAGTCGCAAGCAAGCGTCAGAAACGGATTCGGTCACTCACTTGGATTCCTTTTGTATATGAAACAACAAATCGGCAAGATTGTATTTTGTAGCTATCATTGCGGTTCGTCTTGCCTTATCGTCACATTGTGAATCTGTGCTAACGACGTCTACCATTGCAGCGGTAATCCAGCTTCGTGCACTTCTCAACATCGATATAGCGGAGAAGCTTTGTGTTATTTGGCAGGTTTTCATAGCAGTAAAATCAACGATACAGGACGATAAACCTGCATGGGAATCTCCGTCAAACCGACGACTTCGCTTCCGCTCAGCGCAAGTGGATAACACATATGTCGGGATATCATGATGGTCGCATGCGCTACAAATTCTACCATAATCAATTAGATCAAAATCTCTTTGGACAGCAAAGAGGTGGAACATCGTGCTGAGGAGAACCACAACTGCAAAAATGGCAAAGATCAAGTTTTGAGTGTGCCCTTGCAGATCAACGCTTTCCCATTGAAAACGTGAGGGTCGAAAGACCTACTCATGCAATATTTCTCCGTCACACTACCTCATTTTGAATGAGCTTCTCAAATAGCTTCTTCATGTTGATAGACTTGTCAAACCGCCTAAACAAGTTTATCAACTCTACTCTGAAAATTGATGCTGCTGCTCAAGCAGCCTGTTTGAATTTAAAATGGCGAACCTCAGAAATGGGAACAGGCACAACGCTTGGCAACTTCACGTATATTTCTCTGTCAGAAAATGTAGATGAGCTTGTGTACCGGTTTCATCGACATAAAAGCCCTGATATCCTCAAAAGATCGATAATTCGAGGTTGGGGTTAAGGGCAGCGGCTCGGAAGATTGACCTACCTCAGATTTTGACACAAATGGATAAGAAGCCTCTCAAGTGAATCAAAACAGCAACTCCGCGCCGAAAATGTGAACTCTGCAAAGCAAGGGGGCGGCCCAAGCGCCGCTCCCCTTCCTCCCTTCGCTCCCTTAACACTTGTTCGGACGAGTATTCTCCGCTAGACGGCGCGGGACCCCCCAACCGCTTTCCCGCATTGTGCATGCTACACAAAGCCAAATTTACAGGCAGCAGGGTCTTCGTGCCAGGGCCTCCCGACTTTCCTTTGAAAATTCTCGTCCGAGCTGCCTTTTGGAAATTGAGAAAAACACCCCGGAAAAGGCCTTTTCACCCCTTTTAAAGCTCAGATTCGGCATCTACGGGTCGAGAAGGCCAAAAACATGCAAACAGATGGAAATGCAAAATCTGCTTGAACGCTGCCTTCAAGAACATTCATCTGACGGAGTTGGCCTCAAAATTTTAAGTATTTGCAGAGGGCTTACATACATGGTACGTGTGTCTGTGCTGCCGGAGCGGAGGTTTAGCAGTCCATCTTCGAGCGCTTATATGCACGTCGTTAACACCCTTCTTTTTTTCAGCTTCTCCAGAAAGTCCGCCGTTTAAGTACTTTCTATAATGCATGCCTACCTTGCAATCAATTTTATTTAAGGTTGCGGAAAGTATACGTTATGTTATGCGTTCGTAAATTTACGAATGACACTGATAGAGTCGGATTTCATTGGGTTCTTAGACGACATGAAATTGACGGTACATTGACTCGCACCCGCCAAGGTATGTTATTTCTCATGTGAGATCACGATTGCTGAGAAGATTCAACTGCCAGAGAAGCATCATACAATGGGCCAAGAGCCATTTAGTAGTCTTTGCTGCCGAACTATATCTACCACTCACAGTATAATTTTTTTTCCATATTTAGATTTTCTTTTTCAATCATACGACTTAACACCACCCAGAATGGAAAATGGGTACTTTGGTTATTGGAGAAGTGTACGAAATTGCAAACATGCCAACATTTCCACTGTCGAGCCAGCAGACGGTCGTCATCTGCTGCCATTGCTCTGCCACAACTGAGCCAGCCTTTTCTACGGCGGTGATCTTATTCACGAATAAAGTTGAAGTTAATGTCTCAAGGAGACATCTGCCTGCAGCGGCGTCTTGCGGCATCATGCCACAGAGCAAAGAAAGTTCTACAAGGTAGCACCAAAAGTTTGCTCGAAGCTCGTTCTACATAAAATCAGAAGACGACATCTAAGAGAATCTAAATGCTGAACAAGTCGGGAAAAAAATTTTAACTCCTTTCAAAAAAATTACAAACTTCCTACTTACATAGGCAATGAACTCTCTTCCACAACGAGTTATTGTCTGTGATTTGCTAAAGCTGCGCTGGGCTGCCCTCTCGCAGGTGAATCTACAGTATGAACATTTCAAAGTAGAACTATGATTTTTTTTTGGGCTTTCACAGGCAATAGTTTTTAAGACGTATCAAATTTAGCGCAAAAAGTCACGAAAAAGACGACTTTTCTGTATTTCTGGCCTATTTTGGTGTAAGTTTGTTTTAAAGTTTTAGCCAAAGAAAAAGTAAGTAATACAGGTAAATATCAGATGCAGAGAGTAGAAGCAGATATGATTTTTTTTCTCGACATTTTCGGCATATAGGCTATCATAGATTTCGGCTTCGAACTTTATGTAGAACAAACTTTGGGCATATACTTGGTGCTATCTTATAGGGCTTACTTTGTTTTGTCATGAGCACTGCAGAACTTATTTGAAACCAGAAGAATATAAGTTGTTGTGGTAGAAGGTAAAAAAGGTAAAAAAGATTATGGGACATCCTGATTATTGAAAAAAGTGAGAAAATCGCCGCTCAGTAAGAGTTTTCTTCCACTTATCTTACGTTACTTATCCAAGTACGTATAATTGGAGCAGTCATATATGTAAAATATGCAAAGTTTGCGTCACATTTCCTTGTTGTCCAACTGTTAAGTCAAAGCCACAGCTACAATCTTAGGATGAAAGTTTAGTGGAGGTTAGGCAGAATTGAATATACTAAAGTAAGTCTTCGTTCTGTTCGATTGAAAGATACAGAACTAGAGTTTCGTGATTGAAAACTCAAGAACATTTTGAGCCTATCATATTCCAGCTTGTGTATGACATAATCAACTGCACTCTAGAAATTTCATACATTCATCGACATGAGCATTTGACAAATAAAATTTGAGGCAGGAATGAAGCTAGCATCTATGAAACAATGCACACTGCGGATAAGGCAATAGATTAAGGCACACACAAATAAAGCCAGTAGAACGTTTGCTTGGAAGAGTAGGTGGTGCATAGAAATTTCCACTAAAAAGCGAGACTTAGGCCCGTATGCGCGTACATCCCCGCTGGGGAGGGGATCTAAGAGGGGATGCGTCATATCTCGCTACTTTACGATTCTTTCTTCTCTTCCTCTATCTTGCTTTTGAAGTTTCTCATACTCTTATACCTGCGCATAATGAATGTCAGGTTATTGCCATACAAGATTGGTTTTTGCCATTTTGTGTGATTCTCTGGGGATCCCATGGGAATCCCTAAAGGAGCACCTTTCATTTTCAAAGTGATTTATCCTGAGAAGTCAATGAAAAAGCTGTAAAATTGTACTGAGGATATACTACGGCACTGCTAAGCATATTTTCGACAGAAGAGATGACTGGCTCGCGAGCTAGAGATTACCGAAGAATTTGATATTCTGAGATTTTACTTAGTTCTACTATAATCATCATCATTTCTATTATAATCATCTGATCCCCTGGGGATCCCCAGGGGTTCACCTCATATTTTCAAAGTCATTTATCTTCGTGAAAACTCAATGAAAATGCTGCAAAATTGTACTGAGGATATACTGCGGGACTGCTAAACATCTTTATAGTAGAAATAAGTAAAATGTCAGGATATCGAAATTTTCGATGAACCTCGCGAGCTAGGGAATATCGAAAAATTCACAATCTTCAGATTCCATTTTTCCTGTCGAAAACATGCTTAGCAGTGCCTATCCTCGGTACAATCTTGCATGTTTCATTGACTTCTCAGGGAGGATAAATCACTTTGTAAATGAGATGATCCCCTGGAGATTCCCAGGGAATTCCCAGGGGATCACACAAAATGGCAAAAAAACCGATCTTGTATGGCAGTAACCTGGCATTCATTACGCGCAGGAATAAGAGTATGAGAACCTTCATAATCAAGACAGAGAAGAAAGAAGAAATATACCTAGAATAGCGAGATATCTTAGAACACCTCCCCTCCCCAGCGGGGATGTACTGCATAAGTCCTGAGAACAAAATCATAGAAAGGACGCGATTTTTCAAATGCACTATGGTCCCGCTTTTTTATGAGTGTTTTTGCTGAAAGCCTTTGATTTTCTATCTAATAAGTCACAACCAAGCTTTTGAAAGATGTGCAGCAATCTCTTCCATCCTCTCTCAGAAGCGATTTCAGTGATAAAAAGGTGTGGGTGCAGCAGAAAACGTCAGAAAAACATGAGCAATAAGAGACCCGTGACGATTTCAAGTCCAAGTGAAGCAAGGGTAGCGGCAGGCTGAAGTTCCCTGAGAATTAGAGGCGTTGAGAATTTGCTTAGAGAGTGACATCGTTTTTTGAGCTGAATTCGCTGCTTATTTCTTCGATAAGGTCTTGTAACTGAAAAAGCAAAAATAGCGCAAGATTTTTTTTCCAGAGCTTCTTACTATTTCTTTGGCATTGGAGCTGGTTTCAGCTATAGTCGACAATCGTTTCATTGGACCTCCTCCGCTGCTGCTACTGCTGGAGGGATCGCCAAGACCCTGAAAGAATATTTTGAGATGCTCTGAATGAAGACTTTGAGAAACACAACCACAGTAACGCTATTTTCCATTGATGTGTCTGCCTCAAAAACTCGCGAGGAGGAAATTATGTTGCAATTTGACCTCTAGTAATATCTTGTTTTTATGTCTAAATGACATAATAATATCACCAAAAATGCTCCATGTTTTTACCGTGGCTCGGCATACAGGCGAGGTGGACATTGTTTTGGGAGTACAAATGTTGTTACACGTTGTCCTTTGCACAGTTTAAAAAAATTTGTTCTACCAAGTATAGCGAATAAGAAGGTGTAATATAAAAATCAAATGAATGATGTAGATTAAGGGCTTAGGCAGTGTGAATCTGCTACGACTAATAAAGAAAGCTTTTTGCGAATTCCACTCCATTAAATTCAGCCCCAAAAACTTTAAATAGTGGAGCAATTCAGCTCCCAGCGCGCAGCAGTGTGCTGAAGACAACATGCAGCCACTGCAACAGTGCTATTATTATTTCTGTCGAATGTGTTTTCAGCGTTGTTTAGTATTCAGTTGTAATTTTACCTATTTTTGTTTTTTCCCTATACCACAAGAGCATGTCGTAACTTTTTCCTTTGCAAAATCATTGCGCATTTCTTCTTCAAAATCCTGGTGCCACGTCTCCTATCCCTGATTATAAGGCAAAAATTCGCCGCCAGATGTTATGATAGTACAAAAACTCCTACCTGCTCCAGCCTATCTCCCTGATTTTCTTCCTCCTCGTCTTCAATTCCATCCGTCACCCATGCCATTCCTCTCCATACCTAGAATAGTGGAGATTTGTGCACTCATGCAATGAAATAAAGTGTTTACCATTAGTTTCAATGATTGCAAAACGATCTTTGTTTTGGAAAGTCTACATATGCTTTCGTTTTTTGTAGAATACAAGGGGTTAGAGTTGGAGGCGGCGTAAGTACGTTGCGTTCGCATACGGGCTAACATATGGAGCGTATGCTGCGTACGTCGCCTACACCGCCTGCGCCGCGCACTCTATCTCGAACCTCAAAACTTTCCTTCAGACAACAAAAGTTCTAGCAAGTATTAGCGTTTTGTTCTGTAAAGACAATCTATCCACAATGCACTGGCTAATATCGGTAACCAAATAGTGTCTGCCACTTGTGATGCTGAAGCGTGGCACTTTTACTCAATAGTCCTTGGACCATAAGGTGCATTTCTAGTTCGATTAAACTTTTACCCCAAATTTTTCATCTTCATTTATAAAATAGCTCTTGTGAATTATACGTATGATAAATGTTTCTTATGCTTCTCCAGCAAAAATCAAACTTCCTACACTGTAAATGAAGACAGATGTATCAAATTGAAGGTATGGCGGCTGGAGAGTATCAAATGAATGATATCAGGAAAAAAGAACAGAACTGCTGCTATTTTGAGGAAAGAAGTGCTAAGATTAAAATAAAAGGAAAAAGCGGAAAAATATCTGGCGCTTAGACGTCCAACGACTTTTATACACATAGTTTTGTAACAAGGAAAAAACTCTTTGAGCACGCGAGCTATATTACACTAAGCACATGGAGACATGGGAAATTATTAGCGATATAATGAAAACAGACAAGATTAGCTTGTACCTGATGCATGATATGCACAGCTGGAGCGAGCATTGCGACTGTAGCTCGTGATTCGGCCCTGTAAAGAATATCTTTCATCGCAGTAATTTGATGTTTCAAAGGAACTTGACAAAATTTTCAGTTCCCCTCGCTTATATGGAACCTTAAAAAATTGCTACATCACTGCTACCGCGGCAGGTGGGTGCCAAACAGTTTTTGGGACTTCGTCCAAAAAGATTCAAAAGTTTCAAAGAGAGAATCCAAATTACATGGTTTAACCTGTTCCTATTGAGTTAGGGGTCAAATTTTAGAAGTCGATTACATTTTCACATGAGAAATATCTAACCAAAAGATTGAAGAGTCCCTCATTCGTATAATAAACTTTAAAATAAACATGAATACAGTTGTAAATTCGTTTTAAGTTAGGGGTCAAGAGGTGGGCTAATTGCATTGATTGATTGCTAAGGTTGCAAAATCCTCGTTTTCTTCAATGTTGTTTTTAAGAGTCTGTTATTTTTTCTACTATGACGCAGCGAATAACTTCTGTGTTAGCGACTGATCAGTCGATCAGTTGTCATAGTGTAATCTGCGATCCAATGGTCGAATATAATTGTCATTAAGCCGGAATCGAGCGCTATAAAATATGTTCACTTTTTAGCCATTTTCATGTTCACTCAGTTTGCCACATAACCTATCATTATGGTAGACAACCTAATTATACGAACAGTATGAAACCGTCACGTTCCATCTTTACTCGTGAGAGCAAGTTTCCCTAAGGTGTGCACCCTGCACTAATGATTGCTGAATTACATTAGTATAGCCAAATTACCTCAATGGCAATCGTTGTGATCCATCTTCAGCCTGCTGAGCAGCTAATGTCTGAGCATGCTGTTGCATCCGAGCTCTTAGTCCACTCATCTTTGGACTTGAGGGGCCATCGTTTTGCACTGGAGGATACATTTCCTGAATAAATGTCCATTTACTCCTCGTCGACGTCTACTTCCCAGAACTCGCTCACACATTGAGCGCACTAATGTTGATCAGGCGTATATGTGGGATTGAAAACATTTATTCCCAGTCCGCGCCCGCGTTCTCAACTAGAAGCATAGACTTGGGGCCGCAGTGATTTTGAATGCAGTAGTTCTGGGAGTCAATGGATGCCTAACTAGCTCTTGCTCTAATTGCTCGTCATTAGGAGTCCGATGCCACACATTGAGCGTCGTCGACAAACACAACTTATCGGCCGTAGCTAATTGTAACAAAAAGCCTTGGAACTTGTTTGAAAGACCATGTAAAGTGAGAATCAATCAAGCCATCAAAACTTGAAAAAACTTACGTGCAAGTGAAGGCATAAGTTTGTATACCACTCCGGATTCGGACACGCTTGTGGATTTGCTATACAAAGTGCACACGCTAGCATCGTACCTGTAAATTCTTATGGATAATTCTTTGCTTTCCAAAGAAGATCATTGTATTCAAAGTAGAAAATTTGCTAAACGCTCGCAGTCGACACATAATCTGGACTGCAGCGTGTACCTCTGCCACCTTGCGGTCAGTTTTTCAATGGTGTCTTCCCAAAGATCAGCGCGGCAGGTTCGAAAAGTTCTTTAGCCTGCATCTACTGCATCTGTTTAAGAGATCGCTTCAGAATCGATACAAATCGAGTACCGTTTGCAAAAGGTGACATATAAGCTGGTGGGGTGAATAGTACATCAAATATGCAATGTACCTCCCGGTCAAGTCTTGCTGGACAGTCTGACAACAGTTTTTTTATGTTGGAAAACTCAATCTTCTTTACTAGATTTTTTCTGCAATAAAGGTTTGCTCAAACGTTTGGGATGCTTGCGGCATGTCCAACCGTTTTCTTCTTATCCAGCAATTTTCAGAGCAGCACGTACAGTGCCCGTCTCACCAAAAGTCTTGTCTTCGTAAGATGGGCAGGAGTCTCATATTGACTTGCAACCATTTTCTATAGTCGGCAGTAACTCTATGCAGGAACGCTTCTTCTCGTGATTAGCATGTGCTAAAAATGCATCTTTTAGCCTTTTCAAAATTCATTGCTGGAAAGTTGAAAATCGCAGAAGATCAGCTTTCCAGCGAAAGAAAGTTTATTTTAAAAAGCATGATTAGCCAATGGTATATGAATCTTGCCACAGTTTAGCTCTCCTTACAGAAGTGATGACAAGATGAAAACGACTCAAGTTGTAAGAATTTCTGCCGTATCCAATTAACTATTCATTATTTTACGTAATAAAAGCGCATTAAAAATATAGACGAAAAAGGAACAGAAAACACTTGAGCTTGGGTTACAATCTGATGAATTAGGTCGCTCCCCATCTCCAAAAAGTGAGTGGTCTCCACCGGGATCCTTTCCCCTTATCGGAACGCATGCTAGTGTAATAAATTCATTTGGTATTTAGGGTCGCTCCCCATCCTGGTAATTTATTAAGGGACTGGCCGATCAACTTAACCCTAATCGGAAGAATCAGTAAGGGACCCTGGGCGCGTAAGTAGGGGTTACCGCAAGGTAATACTTTCTGGAACCCTAAAAGGACTGTATACTGTAAGATGGTTTGTTAACATTGAAAAACAGTCGAAAACTTCACATTCTTCCAAAATTAGGTCACACCTTTTAGAAATTGACTCGATATGCATGGCTTGATCTCTGCACTAAGAATGTAGAGCTGGCAGATTCAATCGCTTATCTGTCTACGAAGAGTAAATGATAAAAGGGACATGGGCTACCAAGAGCGAGGACAGCCACCAGCAAATCCACCACACATTATTATTTAATGTTTACTTTGATTGGCAGTGTTCATTAACTTAAAAAGATAGCACCGGAAGATGCACAGTCGCAGCTTTGCGCATTGTATGCGTTGAGGACGCGTTCAAAGAATTTTCCCAATCCGCTCAATCACAGCGTGATTTTCAAATAGTGTATAGATCCATGAATGAATAGATGTACTCATAAAAACACTCAATCTTACTTTGCTTTCTTCAAACAGCCTTCAAAAGCCCTGGCATTCCACTGCGCTTTCAATCCCTATTGCTTCCCCGGCTCTGCTGCATATTTCATTTGAGTGCAATGTTTCGTGTCGATTTGGATTGGCGCGTGTGTTGTTTGTAACACACGAGGCAATAAAAACGCGTCTATCCCCGGCGCTAATTTCAGTTGCGAGCTTCGCAATTCGCAACGTTGCTATTGATGCGCGATGAGTAAGTTCACATGAGAGATGAGAAAATCGCTCAGCATAGGAGTTAAAGGCAGTGTCCGCAGATTCGCTCTCTGGGCGATATAGGTGTGCTGGGGTTCCTGGTCACCCCACTGACCTCCACTCGAGTACTTTTCCGTTATCCGGACCTTTTTTTTTCCAAAGAAAGATATTGCTTCTATCTTTGTACCAAATCCAGGGCCCGGCACAGATCGTCTGGAAGCAGGCTGGACTTCGTTTTTGAAGCAAACAGCAAAGGGGAGATATCGTTTTTGACGAGTCGGTACCGAGCACCAAGGATAAGCGCCATTTAGTCGAACACAAGCTTTTCGGAAAGGTCATTACACGATTGACGTGCTCTATCGTGTATGGCGAAAAGTGCGCGCGATTTGAAAGCAAGGCTTAAATAAACAAATTGCTTGTTTACACCGCACACAGAAGCATATGACACCAAAATCAAACTGTATGTACAGAAAATTATTTGCGAAAGTATTATGTAAAAGGAACTTATGTGAAGTAATACCTTTTCCAAAATTAGATCGTCTCCAGACGGCCACCAGACAATTTGGATCGTCTGGAGCAAATATTTTCGTCACTTCACATAAGTTTCGGATCATTTTAGCATAAACCGATTCCCCGGTCAAAACTACCCCTGAGCATGAAGACATTTGCATATCATTGCCTTTCCTTTGTTTTTTGCCTTCATTTCTTCTCGCTTTGTCAAATATCGCGCTCTAATGCCAAAGTCTTGTGCATGCGTAGTATTCAGCTCCAATTTAGATTTTCACTCTTACCTTACGTCTTTTCTTTCAGACTAGTAAATCTTTCTTGTTTTCATCTTCTTCTAAGCAGGTAGGTCAAAGGGGACTTCGTAAAACTTCTGAAAGTCAAGGGAGACTTCGTTTTCAGAAACCCTAGAAACCGACTCGTGCCGGGCCCTGACCATATCCCAGCTCCACAGGAAGGAGTGTTTACTAGGTTTAACAAGAGTTGGTGTCACCCCACACCTAGCGACGTAAATTCAATCTCTTTTTTGATAAGTTTGACCTCATTTCGATTAAACATTTCAAAAGTGAATGTCATAATAATAACATCATCAATGAACAGATTAGACTTGCTCAGTATAGAGAAGTGGGCTAGGATTCCGTCATTTGAGGCGAATTTAGCAGCCAAGTACTTCAGGCTATCATTTGTAAATTTTTCGGCAAAATTCGCATGGCGAAAAGAGTATGAAGAGAAATACATTTTTGAATTACTGCTAGAGCAAGCAAGATGTTCTAAAATAAGTTCATGATTGTTTTGTGCTTATGTAAAACAGTTAAACAACTTTAAAATGATTACAAATTCTCTTTTTATCTCACCGGAACTGATATCGAGAAAAAAACATGTCAGAATGGACCAAGACGTGTCAATTTTTTCATGACACGTGGCAAGGAGGCAGTCATCGTAGAATCTATGAAAAATTATTCTTAGACTAAAAAACGTATAATAGGAGAGCCTTTTGAATGGGTCCGGATAACGGAAAAGTAACCTAAAAGTTCCCACCGTAACCCTACATTAATGAAGGGCGATGGGTAATTCGCTCCATACTGTAACTCTAAGTTGAAGCCTCCTCTACCGAATGGTAATTGAAGCTAAGGGAAAGACTCAGCAGGGAGAGAGTTATTAACGATCAAAAAGTGTGTACTTACTTTTGCGACAACCTGTGTACCTTTTTTCTCAAGCCATCACATTTTTTTGAGTTTTCCAATATACACTGTATCTTGATTATGTACATAAAGGCATATGATATTGAAATAGGATCGAGATTATTTGTAATGTTATATGCCTTAAATGAAAGCACGACTTGGAAAGAATTTTAGAACTTTTTGTAATACTTTTGAAAAATCTTAAAAATACTGGTGTATGTACATTTGTGCGTGAAAGTACTCAGTGAAAAACAGATTACAAAAAACACCGGTAAAACTTTTTTTGGACGTCGCTGCTCAAAGTGTGGACTGCGTCCCTGCTGATTCTCAAATCAGGTGACCCGCAAGTTTTATAGAAACTAAAAATTCGTTTTAGGAATGTGAGGAAAGTTTTGAATATGCAGTGAAATTTTATTCTAAATGATAGATATTCAACATTACTGTACAGGGTGTCCCAAAAATGTGCCTACTGTTTGTTTGTTAATAACTCTCTTGTCATGAAGTTTTTCGAGAAGCATAGGGTTTTGTAGAGCTGGTTTCATGTTATAAAGAAACGATAAGAACGATACTTGGTGATCTTGGTTTGGCCTTGGAAATCAAACTTGAACTATTAAAAGGCAGTGGCATTCCCCAATGCCACTCACCTGACCTCCCTCAACTAAATAGAATTTCCTCTTCTTAATCACCTGAGGTAGTCTTTATTTACTGTTTGTTTGCTTCGGCGGTGGCAGGCTAGAAGACTATCTTACCCTAGCAATGTTCTCGTTAATCACATTGATTTTGGCACAAGTTTACGTGTATGAGATAAAGATAAAAGATAGAGATAAATGCATCATGAAGCGCTGATTCCCAGATCTGCTCGGTATCTGCTCTACGCTCTTCCAAAAAAATTTATGAACATTTCTTGCCACCAGAATTTGTACTGTTTTGATGACAGAAACCACCAATATCGTTAGAATGGTCTCTGCATAAGAAAATTGCAATAAAATAAAGTTACCTTAAGCTAGAGAAAACTGTCTCCGGTATATTCGAGTCTACAAAGTTTGGATACTGACGATTCTTACTATCCAGATTTTATAAAATTAATGTGGTAAAGATTCTTTGATTTCGTTCAGTGGGTCGCACTGCAGGTAGCGGATATAGATTTAGAATCAGAGTTTTAAGGCGCACCTCCTGGTATACATCTTACTGTAAGACCACGGTCACCAAGTATCTTACCCTTGTTAAATTCACAGTATAGAGCAAGTCACCGACCGCTCTTTATTACTATAGGATTACGGTAGGAACTTTCGGCATATGAAAATATGAACCTAAAAACTCAAGTGAAAGGGTTTTTATGGAAGCTGAATTTGATGCACAACTTTGTACAAGATTTTGATCTTTTCTGAACGGAACATTTTTTAGAAGCATTAAAACGGCAAAAGACTGGTTCACCAAACCGAAACCAGTTAAATCAAACTTTGGTGGTCTTTTTGAACTTTTCGAAGACAAATTCATCTGAAAAAAATGTGATGTCAGTTCTTTTTTATAAGGAGTAATATACCAGCGCTGTACTAACAGAAACATTGCATTAGACACCAAGGTTAATTTTCTTATTGAAATCACCGAAGACTGCAAACTTAAAAAAGTACAGTATTTCGAAATCCATGAGGCACAGCTTATGAATCAACTTAAAATTTTGCTGCATTTAGTATAAGTCAAAGTTTTCCTTCCCTCTCAAACGTTTCAGATTCCCCCAAATTAGGTAATGTTGTCTTAATGAGAGAGAAGCCCCTGTGCAGCATGATTCTGCGCGCATCTGATACCCTCGCTGTATTTTTTTTTGTTCCCCGACGAACATGTGATCAAATTAGTTTCATGAGTTCGTATTTATGCGTGCAGCGGACGCTTCTCTCTTCTCGCAATGAAATTAGCACTAAGGAGAGGCGACGGCTATGCAGAACTTGCAACATGAACGTTTTGCTGGTTCGATCTCCCTTCGCCTTGAAAATGGGTAGCAAAATTTCTAAAGTAGCCTTATAGATTTCGAAACTGTGCAAAAGACTTGTTTTTACTCGAAAATGAAATAATTTTTGTTTTTGAATTTAAATTACCTTTGTAAAAAGAGTTGATTTTTCTGATGAAGAGGAGGCGTCATGCCCCTTTTATGTAAAAATTTCAATCTTTTGAACCGCAAAATAATTCTGAAAGCATCCCAGCAAAATCTTCTAGACAGGTGACTGAAACCAAGGCCTTTATTCGAAAGAAATTCCCGTCGCCACCCACCTACCCCAAAAAAACTTCTCAGAATCATTGCGGTTAAAATCTAGATCCGGAATTTCTTATGTAAATACCTACTTCGCCTTAAGCCTAAGCCATACTTCCTGCGATTTCGTCCAATCCACGCGACTTGGCTATTTTCCAAATTCCTACAGATTGACCGTACACGGGTCGTAAACGCGTAGGTGTCTAGCTTTTGTAAAGTTGTCACGAATGAAGTCTAGCCCGAGCAAAGGGTGCTTACGTCCAAATATGAAGAGCTGTCGCGTGAGGTATGCCTTAGACCATAGTCAAGCTATTAGCTCACATGGTTCATTCGTGGCCGAGAAACTAACAACTTATATCGCAATCTTTTGTGAGGAGCATTCAGCGTCCGCGAGAATACGGGTGGACAGAATAGTACTGTCTGGGTGAGAGGTTAGGTTTGGATTGGCAGCACATATAAATCTTGTGTCTCGAAAAATGGTCGCTTAGCGATAGCTTAGTTTTTTCGGCCATTCAAGCACCACAAAGGAAACTCCCAAATACCCATGCGAGGTCATCGTTTCCATTAATAAGAATTTAAAAATTCACACAAAGCGTAAAATAGGTAACAATGAGAAGATGTTTGGATCTAGAGATTTAACTAGTTTGATGTATTTTAAGCACAGCCAAATAAAAATAAAAATTCTTTGCTTTAGTTCTCTAGAGAACGCTGGAAATGAGGGTATTTTTGAAAATTGTCTACAACGTAGTGCACAACTGAAACTGAACCTTTACTCTTCAATTTGCCGTTGAAACTCGCTTGATTTGAACTGACCAATCTAAAAGAGAATTTTGATACGAACTTCTGCGAATATTTTCAGTTCAAAAAATTAGCGAATAAGACCGGCAAATTTACTATTGCAGACATTTTCTGCCTCAGTGGAAGCTAACAGGACACTTTGCATGTGGAGCTGCTACAGCAGGGAATAAAATTATTTTGCTTTTCAAGTGCATCAAAGTGGAATGTGGAAAGCATCTCTTTAGATAATTTGATGTATGTAGATGTCAAAAATCGCAGAAAACTCAGAAACTTTGTTGATTTTTTAGAAGCTATGAAGTCTGAAAAGACATTGGATTTTTTTTGTAACAAACTTACGCCTTTGATTTGCTGTTTCATTTTACTGTATTCTACATTTCAAAGTAAAACTAGCGATTTATACGATTTTGGAATTGTCAAAAGTTGTCATCTCATATTTTATTAAAAAGGGAAAGACATGTGTAGGAGAACATATAAAGTGAGACTAGGGTCCTGCTCATTTGATTATAAAAAGAGAATATAGCAATAACAATACAAAAAAGAAGTCAAACTAAGAAAAAAGAAGGAAAAAGGAAAGGAAGACTTGATTAAAATTTGAACAAAAATAAACTCACCTACTATACAAAGAAGTACAATGTACAATCCAAAATTATACATTTCCAAATCGATTATAGCCAATGAAATACACGAACACATAATAATGAATAATATTAGTATTGCAAGGCATGCGTAGAACATTCTGAAATTAGCCGAGAACGATTGCAGTGGCAACATATGCGATTCTCATGTAGGAGCATAAGTCCACAGCGAGAAAGCAGGGCGGAAAATTTGATAAAAGAGAAAGCATTGCAGGAAAAGAGGGATCAGTATGACAAAGTAGACGCTTCTCGACATGGTGAATAGATTGTTTCAGATGGTAAATCATGTGAGAATTAAAACTATGTGGAAGCAGTATTTGAAAAGAAAATTAAAAAAAAGAAGCCGTCGGGTAAGTCAAAATTGACGACAAATAGCAAAACTTTTTCTTACCTTTTTTAAATTGAAATCAAAGTGGAGCTAAACTCAGAACTAAGCACCTTGTACAATAAAGTCTTTGGTATTTCGGTGAAAAATCTCAAAAATCTGTCTCCAAACTTATTTTATTACTTTTATTTTTTTATTTTTTTATTTTTATTCTTATTTTACTCCAAAATTGGAATTTTATATTCTTGTTGTTTTATTTTTTTGTTTTTGTTCTTGTCTTTGTATATTAATTTGAGCTCCAACTTCGAGGATGTCTCAAAGCGCAAAGAAAAGAACCAGTAAGAAGTAAATAAGTAAAGAAAAATCCAAAAAATCTGCCTAAAAACTGGTCCTTGTAGTACTCTAAGTATTTTGACAGAGGCAAATTCATAATGTTTCTACCCTGCATAGACATAGGCATGACAATATTTAAATTTTGATTATAAACCCATCTTTTTTCCTTTATGATTATCAGAGCTAAATTGCGATTTTAGAATTTTTATAGACTTAGTCACATTTCATTAAAAACATTTTTCAAACATGACTCTGGAATTTGTCAGGCTGAACAATTGCCAGGCTGAACAATAGAATCATGAAATTTTAGAAAAATGTCTATATTTGATTAGAATTGGCCCCTACACAACTGAATGTTTTATAGAAGATTTGTGGCATGGTCTGCATGTTCCGGAAAGGTCTGAAAATCGAATTTCTGTGTTTGAGGGAAGAAACGAATCAAAGCTCAGCTCAAAGTTTAGTTCTTTTTTGTACTTCTAGACCCTAACAGCAAACTTCGCTAGAAACGTTTTTTTGGAAGCAAAAAGAGACACAAATGTGAGGCTCTCTTTCAAAATAAAAGCAGCATTCTCAGACTGACAGAAAAAAATAGTGTCTCTTGAAAACAAAGAATTCCCAAGTTCAGAAACTATTGTAAGTTACCGGCCACGCGAGTCTGCTTTATCAATAATTAGCTTTGTTTATGACGCATATGCCTCTAAAGTTACTCTGCCAGACATCTCCACCTACGTTCTAAGCTCAAGCAAATCGATAGAGAAGCATTCTGTGGATAATGTAATAAGAATCATTTGTGCAGGTGGATAAGAGAGAATAAAGAAATGTAGTAAGAATCAACAGTTCATGACAATCTATAGAATGAAAGAAATTCTAACTCGTTATTCATCAATTTTACTAAACAAGAGGATCTAAGAGATAAAAAAAAACAGAAGTATTCAACAAGTACCAATATATCGTGCAAAAGAAAGGCAAAATACCCAGAAAATTCAAGAACCACAAAACTTTATGATTATTTTTTCTTTTCTGGGAAAATAATCTAATAGATCAGCAAAAGGCTAAAAACAGAACAGTGTGTTGGAGGAGGTATGGAGAGAAGGGGAAAAGGGCAACAGAAATCCTCCGTGAAGGAGGCGTTTCCACGCCCTCCAAAATTATTTGGAATGCCTTGAAAATTTTTTGTAGGCTTATAACCCCAAAAATTTAGAGAAGGGGACGTATGGCAGCCTTGCCGCCGAAAATTTCGCCACTGTTTCATAAATAATTGAAAGATTTCGAGTTGTATCATTTGATCACCAGTAAAAACAAGTTGTACAATTTTATAAGACATGTGGATTGTTGGATTGTTTGGAAAATTTCGAGGCCCACCTTAGCCCAACAGTGGGTTAGCATAGGATGAGAAGCGGATGCAGGAGGCGCAAAAGAATTTTATTATTGTTGTTTTTAACTGTGACGAAACTTTAAAAAAATTTTCCAGTGAAAAGATAAAGGGTGGCGAGCAAGAGGAACGATAGCTGGTGGGTGTCAATAACTCGCGCATCTTTTACCACCATTTTTGTCCATCAGCGCGCAGAAATCCAGAGCATTTCTTCCTATTGCACTTTCATTTGAACAGGAGATTGATATAGAAAAGCATCTTCAAAGCTAAGCATTTGGGAACGCAGCAAATTAGCGACGAAAAGCAGAAGTCTGTACTTTTCTCGAAAGAGGCTAGGTTTGTGTCAACTTGCAAAGTTAATGATGTGTTATATAGAGTTATCTGAGAACATAAGGGAGCTTAGACGAGAGATGTAATCCGTTTCCTGATGAATGCATGTTTTTCAAGATGCGTTCGCTTCTCGCCTACAGAATACATGACATTCTGACTTTTAATGCCGCTCGATAGTGTCACCAAAGGGGGGGGGGGAAGGAGGGAACTGTGAAGATTAAGTGATTTGCAGGGGTGAATAATTGTGTAAATGCACATATATCCTTGATTGGTCAAAATTTTCTCAGAAACGGAAAGCCTAGGTTTGTTGAAAAATTTTTTCGGAAGGCTTGATACCGCCACTCCCCTCCCCCTCTTCCAAAAATTTATAGTCAGAAGCTTATTAGAGATTTGTGAGGTAGCAATCAAAAAATTCCCTTCATAGCTTGTAGAAGTCGAGTTAGCACCAAAACAGTCAACTTTCGCCTTTGTTGTTGGCATGCCCTTTTCCAATTTGCGGGGGACGCCAGGCCCCATTCAAAAACTTTATTTGGAAAGCCCTTCCCTACCTCCGATGATGCAAACTTTATGCTTGCCTTGTACATTCTAATAAATTGAAAAAGTAAATGAATAAGCTGCTTATCCTTGAACAAATGGATCCAGCACATGCAAATGCGTTGTTTAGATGTTTTCTGCAATTTTGCGCTGTCTTCTGTAATTCTATAATTTCATGAATTTTCAAGGAATTTTTTCATTAGAACCTACATAACCAGACGTGGCGTCATAATGGATGGAATTTTGACGAGCGGTATGAGGCAGTCAATATACCTTTAAAAAATAGTACAGAGAAAATTTAGAGAAAATAGAGATGCAAAAGCTGAGTAGAGATGGATTAGGATATACCTAATGTGCATAATTGTTAGTGTAAAAAGACAAAATAGGATAACATCGTATTATCATGGCAACACTTATGTTTACATTTTACGTAATAACAGACGTCAGCTAGGCTGATGCTTTTTTCAACAGCAAAAAGATGAGCCGCTTACATTTCGCTAAGGCGATGTGTGGTGTTATTGACATTGAAATATGTAAGGAATTCTTTTGTGAATAGAGTTTTCGCAATGATAAAAATAAAAAATAATTGCAGTGATCGATTGAATTCGCATATCTTCACAAGGCGGCTGACAAGAGGATTGAGAGGTCCAATCAGCAGAGTTCTCGAAAAGACCATGAAATGTTTTACGGTAGAGAAATTTTGAAAAAAGACGCTTTGTACCCACAAATATCATAGATTTTCTTCCGATTTTATTCTCACACGTCACATTATATGACATTTTTGAGGCTGGTATCTTAGTTGCTAATGATTTGTCTTTTTGGGGTCGATGAGGGTATAATAATTGATCCAATCCTTCTATTACTCGATGGTATCGCAAATTTTTTGAAAAATAGGCTTGTAGAAATGGATAGAAAATAGATAAAGAAACCAATTTGAAGTTTTGGAAGTTACAAGAAAAGCTAATATAAAGTCTGTAGAAAAGACAGAGTTGAAATAACGCAAATCTATAGAAAGAAAACGTTTTTGGCGAAGCCAAAGGTCGTTGGAATCGCCATAACAGTCTAACGTTGGCTACTCATAAGAAGCCCTTTCAAAATGCCAATCATGGAGTCACTGAAACTATTAGTTGACATCTTTCACTACTAAAATCAGATTTTTCAACAAATTTTATAAGACGCCTAGTCAAAGTTGAAAGTCGTAACATTTTTTTTGAGCCTAAGGTTCTAAAACATAGTCCTGAAGTGTGTGGGATCATCAAAAAGCATAACATCATTGCCATTTCAAAAGTTGAGTAATTTTAAAGCCACGGGAACATTTTCCAAATTCATTTTTTTGTTGCTTACTCTCTCAAAGTTTCCTTCTTTCCCAACTGTTTCGATTCTACACGATCTTTGTCGCTTCGCATTTTATAAGAAGTTTTGATATAATAACATGATGGAAGCCCTAGAAGAAAGGCAGGCGTTTGCATAAAGTACAATTGGACAAGAAGTCCTAGTTTATGCCTGAACGATGTAGCTACGGCTAAGCAAATTAAAAATGTGATTTATTTATTAGTACGAAAAGCGGCTTGAGGCACTCAGACAGGTTTTTATCGATTTTTTACGCAGAACACAATCTAGCCATTTTTAAATACGCTACTGAAAATTCAAAGGAAAGAGAGCTCAATTTATTGAGTTTTGACAAATGAATAATTTTGGGGTAAGCAGAAATTTATCAACAAAATCAGTTTAGCATTTCGAATGGGGAAGAGCATGAACCCCTCATATCGAAGAAAATCAAACTATGCGCTCATACATAGAGTCCCTAAGCAGACTTCCTTCATGTTTTCCCATGAAATCGATTCTGTCAGGAAAACCTTCTAACTTTAGCATTTTTATTTTGTAGTCCCGCATTTCTTTCTATGGAAATTTTCGTCCGATAAAAAATGAAGTAGTAATTCGTGGTGTCCTTTACAATAGTGTTGTCAAGAAAGTTTTCAAAAGATGTTGTCTGGAGGTAAAGTCTTGAAAATATAGTCAAAAAAATTTTGCAAAAAATCCTCTTGTTTTTAAGAAGTCCTTATTAGAACGTTTGATATTTGCAAATAAGATCCCAGAAAATTATACTGTCGAATATTCATAATAGGGTTTTTGGAAAAAAGAAAATGGCAACTTCTTCCATGGTAGTCCTTTAGCTCTCGTCAAGTACGTGGTGTCGTCAATAAGA